AGCACCTTTACGACCTACTTTCTCCCCGTTTTACCTCCACTCCCAAACAAAAAGAGCCACAAAAAGCTCCAGGCATGGCATTTCACACTGAGTAAACATTGGCATTTCTTTCACTCTAGCCAAATGCCTTTGTGCCTTCCCATTGCATGCACGGGGTTATTCCAGGTGGGGGACAGTTTTTAAAGGAGCAAGCCAAGATGACCGAAAACTGACGTCTGGGGGAAAAAATTGTAACAACTGCTTGTTTGTGATTCTGGTCAAAAAGTGCAGCATCGTTTTTCAAGTTTGTAGTCTGTAGACTGGTTCTGGAATTTCTTTGGCTGCTGGCAATGTATCTACTCAATCGCAGTTCGCGGGGTGCATCAACTGGATGTGGGTCAGTAGTAGGTGGACCCTTTAAGACTGCCAATCAAAGCCATTTTTTATGGTTTTCTAGATTATGGTATCGACTCATGAATTTGCGATAATTGTGACGTAATATCAGAGGCAGCAGCAGAACACAGTCAATCTTTTACTTTGAAAGTAAGTCTCGTTGTTTAAAAGGGTAAAGAGGTGAGGCTACTCATCGATGTGTCAACCTCACCAATAGTTTGAATTCAATTTATTACCAATTGGGTGTTTTGGTAACAATATGCAAACGAGCAGCAGTGAAAAATGAATGCGAATAAATGCACGCCCATCTGGAAAGGAACCTGCTAATCGTAGTTGACAAAATAGCCTTGAATGCCGTCAGAAAACTCATCAAACGTCCTCCTGTAACAGTGATAAGGAGGACAAGAACTGGAGCCTTAAACAATGAAATGAAGACAACCTCTTTGTGGTGAAAATTAATTGTGGTTATCATTCAAATTGCATAATTCTACTTCCACGGTTCCCACCCCCTCATTCCCCCATCCAATCACAAATCACAGACAATTTGCAAGAGGAGTGCAAGAGCTCTCCTCTTTCACTGACTTAATTTCACTGACTTTATGGAAATCGACTATCATCACCTTAGTGTCAACTACAGCAGCATCACCTACAAAAATCCCAAGTCGTTCAACCGGTCCAGACAGGGGAAGCAACAATTTTGGCTCATCTGAATAATTTGCTCGAGTTTTAAATGCTTGTTCCCGAAAAGTAGATGCAAAGATCTGAGGCTATTAAACAAATTGAGCAGGCCTTAACAATGTCACTCATCAGATCAATTACAAAGTGGAGACAGGGCCCAAACGAGTGCCAAAGTGAATGCAAATAAAGTCAAGTGTTGATAAGCTGCGCGGCATCCTACGAAAACAAATGCGAGGAAAGGTTATGAACGAAGTGCTGACCGCCGTAATGCTCTCACGGCGTGAGTGAGTGTTTGTGTGTTTAGAGCCCACATGAGGTGAAAGCCAGAAGGGGCTGAGTCATGTCTTGCTCACTCAGGAAGGCAGATGGAGACGCAGGTGTGATTTTTTTTTTTTTGATAGATTGTGTACCATGTCTGTGTGCATGAACGTCTGTGCGCGTGCACATGCCCTTAACATGCCAATTTCATGCGAGTAGGTCATGTGGCGCACATGCATGGCATGATTTTTTTTTTTCCACACAGCTTGTGAAACATTTGCCACTTACAAGAAGGGATGGAAGCTCACATATGCCCTGATTTCCACTTGATTTGGTTTTTGTAGTGCTCCTTGAGTGACCTACCATGCTTTATTTGCCATCTGAATGGTAATGGACTCCGATCACGCAGGGCTAATGACATTTTTGTTTGCGAGGTGTAATAGGGGTCCATAGTTACAATTTGTGTTTTGGGATCGTAGTATTTATTATCTTATTTCCTGGAAGTCACGACCCACATAATATCAGGTTGATGCGTGGTAAACGGATATTTGACAATGAGACATTGTTGACTTTAATTGCTTGTATTCGATTAGTTTGGTCTTTGGAGTGACTACCCACCCACCGAGCAAGAAAGTAAGCACCCAAGTGAATTTTTTTGAGGTGCCTTTTTTTCCGAAAATGTGTCTCTAAATGAATCATTTTCACTTGATATAATCCCAACATTACACTGAGTTTTTCCCGCCCATGACTGGGCAGCTCAGCTGGGTGAAGAGCTGCCCATATTTTCAAATGATCGCCAGAAACAGCGCTTTTGGTGATATGTCTGCTTCATGTGCCACATACACAGATCTGCTACACTGACGAGTGAAATTTCGCAGCTTGGAAGCGATCAAGTCAGCGCTCAAGTTTGTCGGGTTTGCCGATTAAAGAAGTCCAATGTGAGATCAGTGTAGGGGCGCTATATCCTCCACCACAGGCAGCATTATTTTAAATACTACACGAGCATGGTTCAGAACATTGAAGCGACATTCCTTAACATCAGATTTTTGAGAAAAATAACGAATCAATTATTTCATCTTTAATTCTCTACATTTTTTGTCAAATGCTGAGCCCAAGCAGTTGTTTTCTCTCAGTGCTTTTATTTTATTTTTTGTGAAATACAAAGCAAAGCTGGTTGCCGCGTAATTCTGCAAGAAGCTGAAGAAGTGACTGTGCAATACTGGCAGTGCTGGGCTTTTGATCTTTGCTTGTTATTGGTCTGCAAATATGTTTTGACAGCTTCCTTTTCTCTGCTTTGGAACTATAAAAAAAACCACACGGGCTATTATGTATGCCTCTGCCTTGCTGCATTTAAATCACGTCAAATTAAAAACTAAGTCTAATCTCTTTCTTTGAAGATGATTGCCCAGGGCACTCAACCTATTTTATCATTTAAAAAAATGTGTGTGCATTTCTTAAATCGTGGACAATTATGCAAATATTTGTGTGTGTTTTGGCACGAGGACTTAGGTTTGTTTGCTCACTGAGCCAACTGGCCCTGAACAACCAAGCAAGGTCTCCTCTCTGGCTTTGTGTGACGGCACTAGAATTTACCGCTATTGTTTGATTTGCTTTTCCACCAGCTCTGTCCACACTGTGTGTGTGTGCGTGCGCGTATGCGTGTGCGTGTGCGTGTGCGTGTGCGTGTGTGTGTGTGTGTTTGGAATTTACAGTCTTGGTAGATAGGGCACATGCTGTCATGCACAATTCTTCCACTGACATCCATCACATTCACACCTCTTTTCTGTTGCTTAGTATTGCTTAGTGTTTATTAACACACTCGACTCAGTCTATCATGCAAGCACACACTGAGACCCACGAAAAGCCCAACTTAATACCCAGACACAATCCTTAGTGCGCACGCACACACACACACACACACACACACACACACACACACACACACACACACACACACACACACACACACAAGTGCACTGCTCTCTCCAGCCATTGCCTGCAGTCGTCCGATACAGAGCTACTTGGCAGCCACTGAAGCTCACCAGAAACGGCACCATTGCCTCTCTGGGGAGAGTTACAGCCCACAAAAACCACATGAGTGATTCAACAGCGTATAAATCCCCTTGGGCGCTTGGCTGCCAAGGCCAAGCTTGAGAATGGATGGTCCAGGCGGGTTACACTGGGGGAAATCAGGTTCTCTGTATCCTATATAGTAAAGTACAGCCAAGGACATCATGACCCATTTTCACCTCCAGGTTGCTATTTTATCACAAAAAAAGTCCAAATTAAAATCAGTGAGTTAAATGTCAGAAAGTAAGGAAAAAAAATGAAATATGGAGAATGGTCGGTGAACATTTGCAACCTTGAATGAACCCTGACGGGAATGCAACATTCACTACTACTGTTATGTTTCAGGAAAGCTCCTGACAAAAACAAAAAAGGTTTATCAACAAAAATAGGTCGCAAGACTGACAAAGTTCAACAAAGAACGTTGGTACAACACCGGGAAAACGAGACAACCAAAAATGCTTGCAAAAAAGGCCAGGATAAAAACAAACGGAAATTGCTTGTCAATTAATAGACGAGAAGAAACCGAAATGCGTATAGTATCAAAACCGTGACTACAACTACCTACAAAAACTACCGAGAAAGATAAGTGCAGAAAACCTGGCGGGCACAAAAACGAAGAGCAAGAACATTGAACGGCAAGATGAATTTAACACTTGATGACAGTCGTGAGCAAGGCGAATTATCCGACAGAGACGTGACAACATGGGAGTCCTTAAATCGTTGGCTGATTACGATGGCAGCAGGTGTGCAAGCTGGAGGGATGGCCCTCCTCTGCCACCTGCTGGAGAAATATAAGAACCGGATCATGACAGCTACCTTTGCCAACTCTTGTAAACGTTCCCTCCTTGGTAGGATACAGCTTTAAGCATAACAGAAAACAAAACAAAACAAAAAAAGAACGTTTACAGCCTAATAGCATCCATTGCCTTAGTAATTTTCAGGTATTTTCGGAAAACAAGAAGCCTCAATTCAAGATATGCAGATTACCTGGCTGACACAGAATCTACACACACAAGCCCGAAAAAATAAAAATAAAAGCTCAAACTTTAGTGATCACTTTTTATTTGAATTGTGATGGTGAGTTAAAAATGACTTGCGCAACTATGCTTTCAGGCTCATGATGCGTTATTACAGGATTAGGTCTTAAAAGACATATTAAATCAATATACCAGTAAATTATTTATGATTAATAGTTGTTCCTTTTAGTTTAAATAAAGGTCAAATATTTCATAATTTCATATTACTAATACAACATCAACAATTAGAAACCATCGCTCTAGGAAACACCTTCCACCTGTTCCTTCCTGCTGCGCGGTATATAAAGTGCAGATCCAGCGTCAATCGATGCCCTGTCATCCAAATCTTAGACTGAATTGATGACATTTGACAGATTATGATTTGAACATGTAAAATAGTAATTCCCATGTTAAATTGAAATGTCAAATATGCATTCAGGATGAGGACCGGTGTGATGTCTGCTTCCGTCCCTGTATATGCATAACAGATTTCACTCAAATTGGAATCCATTAGATTGATAAAAGATTGCTTGTCGACACAAACATGCAAACGCAGCCGCCTCCTTGGCGAAGGCAATTTAAAAGTTACAGTGAGTGACAACATACCGGATTGTCCGGCCTCAGTCTCTTTGAAGGTGGCCCTCCATCTTCTGGGTGAAGCATATAAAACAGACGCACCTTGTTGGCATGTTTCTTGCTCTGAAAGAGATACACAAAAAAAAAGTCTCAGTTCATTTGTATCTCACAATTTATACCCCAAATTGTTGTGAGCCCCTATACCTTGAATTGGAATCGGCATAGTAATCAATTATTGAATCATTGATTGAATGTTGAATGAAATGTTTTCAGTCATATTTTAGCCTGGCTGTGACTGCGGTTCGCCGATGAAATATTCGGATTGTCTCTGGTCTGCAAAATAAATATCTCTTACCTTGTATCTTTCATGCGCCTTTTAATGAGTCTGAACTATTCCAAGCAGAAACGCAGCAGCACCTGAGGCTATATTCAAAATGACAGTGAGCTGTCCTTGAAACTGCTCACTGTCATTTTAATGCGGGACAATGAAAATAGGCGGAGAAGCTTTCGGGCGAACAAAATAAGATGGTGGCATGTGTTTGTGTGCAAGATTGATACGGTTGTCGCGCGCTCTTTGTTGGCTTCTATGACAGCAAGTCCTGACCTCTGATAACCTCAACCATATGCTAGATGTCCCTGTGTAAAACTGCTATCTTGCCATCTCAATCAGCAGTGGAAATATAGATGAGAAATTTAGATGATAGAATATCAAACGATTTATATTGTGATAGTGTACATAGTATCCTTGTATGTCACAATTTCGTTTCACTTCAACACCATTCTGCTTGATGTCAATGACACCTTGATATTGTTTGTTGATTTTGTGTGTTTGTTTTGTTTTGTTTTTCTTTGTTAATCAAACAGTTTTGTTTTTTTTCTTGCTCCTGTATTTTTAAAAAATGCTTTTAGTGTCACAATTGCTGTAACTTGATACTATCGGTATTGTTTTGTAGGTTGTGACAATTTATCATGTTTTAAGAGAAATGTACAGTTGAGATTTTGCTTTTAATGTGATTCTGTTCAGTATTTTCCGCAGTATAAAGCGCTTCGGGGTATAAGGCGCACCGTCAATGAATGGTCTATTTTAGAACTGTTTTCATATATAAGGAGCATAGAGTAGAAGCTACAATAAAGGCTGCGGTTGCGCTATGCATCCACTAGAACGAGTTAGCTAAAGGGAATACAATACAATACAATACAGCTTTATTTATATCGAGCTTTCAAACCGCTGCAGCTGTAACAAAGCGCTTTACAAAATATTTAAAATATCACATCCAAGACATCAAAATATCGATCCATATATTAGGTGCATCGGATTGTAAGGTGCACTGTTGGCTTTTGAGAAAATTGAATGCTTCTTAGGTGCGCGCTGTAGAGCGGAAAATACTGTACTTTGCAAAGAGTATGATTAGTCGTGTCGTAATGTCACAATAAGGTATCGATACACAAACATCAATATTGTCAAAGCGCACTGTCATACTGCAGGGTGTTTTTATAGTAAAACAAATGTGTACATTTTGAAATTTGTATACATTTGTGGAGAAAAACCACAATAATATTATATTATGACTCACTGTCTGCAATCCTCATTCAGCGTTGGACAACCTATTCAATATTGACAGTGTATGTATACATCATCAGATATATAGTCATGGGGAAAAAAAAGAATCATGAGATTCTTGTTTTCCTTAGTTTCTTCATTTTAAAGCCTCATGCAATTTAATGTGTATCGTGGGATTAACCGACAAAATTCCATTAAAGTATCCGATCGATAAACCTTTTCCTTAAGAGTAGTAGTGTCATTAAAATTCTTCAGTTGTGTCAATATTTTCCCCAATACATCAAATATTGCATAATTGCTGCATTCCCGCCTTAAGGAGAGACTCATTTAAATCAATGCACTCTTATTTTAATGTGTAAAGTAATGGCGAAAACAAAAGGACAATTCCAATAGAGGCAATGATTTAGGATTTTGGGATAAGGCAGGGCGACATATTAAAGCAAGGGAATGAACGACTTTGACGAGGCTTTGTAATTGCTGCTCCGCTGCATCGATTGTATCCCCTGAAACCCATTCTTGGGATGGAAAACCCCCCACCTTCCCAAACATCTTTCATGCCCCTCCACCCCTTACTTGTCAGACTACTTTAATGCATTTTGTTAGAACGGAAGTGTGCCGTGGCGGGTCTCCAAGCAGCCTTGTGTTTGTCCATAAATTGTCATGTAGCTGATGGCTGCGGCATGGCGGCTAAAAGCGAGACATTGTAGCGCCACGGTTATGCAGCGCTGACCCTCAGAGCTCCGACCGCCACCGTTAATGGACTTGGCCCGTCTCTCTTTTTTCACCGTTGGTCAAAATCTAGTTAGCCTAACCTTGGAAAGGCCACACAGATGGCAGGGTAAAAATATCTTCGCTCGGTGTTACTGGACAGCAACGGAGGGAAGTTGGAGCATGATTTGATTTCGAAAATAAACAGAAGCAACATACTCAATTTGAGTGAAAGCAACATTAAGATTGGAATGGTTTGGGATCACTCTCATAAATTATATTTCGCCTCACTCCAGGATATTTGCAGTACATGCTCAGAATAAAAATATTTTAGACAAAAAAATGGCTTATCACTTAAGTTTGCTAGATGAGTGTAATTTATAAGATGTCCCGAATATAATGCACACTCCCCAAATCAACCTTAAAACGCATTTTTTTCCTCTCGGTACTTGTGTATAATATGTTCCCTAGATTTGCTGGTATCTTTCATTATTAGAGTGAATGATATAATGAATGAATGAATAAAGATTTAAAACATACAATAATGTGTCAATCATTTTGAATCAAGGTTCAAAACTATGCTTCTCCCCACTTTGCCCATTGCTATGATTAAGGTCTTTCAAAGAGCATTTTTAAATAATGCTTTCCAAAATCTTGTTCTTACATTGGACACTCAATTTCAGTAAGCTACTTCTTGTCTTTACTTTGCTCTTTACGATGTCTAACATTTTTGTTTGTAACCGCCTTTAAATGTGGTACTTTTAATTATGTGAAGCACTTTGAGTTACCTTTTTTATGTTGTGTAATTTTAAATGCTCCAAAAAACTCAGAAAAGGGTGCACCTAGTGGCCATAGAAGTAATTACACATGATTAAGCTGACTTTCAATTTAATGTAAATTCCACACACTTTCACATTACTTAGCAAGACAAAACTATTGTTAAAGCGTTAGGTGACGCTACAAAATGCCAATAGCTAATAACATGCCCTTTTGTGTGCTTAAGAAGTGCCTTGAATTCCTGTTGCTAAAGCTAGCAGGCTAATGACACCAACTGATCCACGACCATATGGACTATTATGAATGCAGGATACGAGTAGAGAGCTGATCTGCATTGATGTAAGTGTGGCTTGAGAGTCCAATAATTATCCAATCTGTGTGTGTTTCGTCACTGTTTATCTTTCCTTAAGGGACAGGCATTGACCGCTTTGTCATCCTTTGATGTGTGTCAAGAAACAATCGGCACTTTGAACAATTCCTTTGGAGAAACATGTGGAGTAGGTTTTTGAAAACCAGTAGTACTTCTTTAGACAACACGTTCCCATGCACACTCTCCTAATAAAGATAATCTTGGGAGCTCTACTCCAGTAAGGTACAGGATTTAATGTTGACTGTTGAGGATTTATGTTATGTATAGCGCTCTTGCTCACTGCTTTTGTTCTGAAGGGACATGCCGGATGTGTATGTGAGCTCACTTCCGCCTTCCTGGTTCGCTGACGCGATACTCATGGCCGCGGCTCGTATTACGCCGTGCTGCCGAGTTGTTCAAACCCAAGAGAATAAACATCTCTGAAATGATCATCTGAACGAGTCTTATAATTACACGAGTCTACCGGCCACTCTTCGTGATCATCACCTCCTCAACAGGTTATGGGCCCAGGCACAGAGGCAAGCGGCGCCAGCGAGAGGCTACCTCATGGAGTTAACAGAAGCTACTCCATGAAGAGGTGCGAAGATAGATATGAGCCAAAGAAAGACAAGACGTGGTAAAGCGAACGTGACGCATTACACGGAGCTTATAATTGATATTGAGAGTGCAATTTTATAAAGGCAAGCAACAGCGTGGAAAATAACGCAAGTGGAGAAGCTAAAGCTAAGGGATTGTCCGGCCTCAGTCTCTTTGAAGGTGGCCCTCCATCTTCTGGGTGAAGCATATAAAACAGACGCACCTTGTTGGCATGTTTCTTGCTCTGAAAGAGATACACAAAAAAAAAGTCTCAGTTCATTTGTATCTCACAATTTATACCCCAAATTGTTGTGAGCCCCTATACCTTGAATTGGAATCGGCATAGTAATCAATTATTGAATCATTGATTGAATGTTGAATGAAATGTTTTCAGTCATATTTTAGCCTGGCTGTGACTGCGGTTCGCCGATGAAATATTCGGATTGTCTCTGGTCTGCAAAATAAATATCTCTTACCTTGTATCTTTCATGCGCCTTTTAATGAGTCTGAACTATTCCAAGCAGAAACGCAGCAGCACCTGAGGCTATATTCAAAATGACAGTGAGCTGTCCTTGAAACTGCTCACTGTCATTTTAATGCGGGACAATGAAAATAGGCGGAGAAGCTTTCGGGCGAACAAAATAAGATGGTGGCATGTGTTTGTGTGCAAGATTGATACGGTTGTCGCGCGCTCTTTGTTGGCTTCTATGACAGCAAGTCCTGACCTCTGATAACCTCAACCATATGCTAGATGTCCCTGTGTAAAACTGCTATCTTGCCATCTCAATCAGCAGTGGAAATATAGATGAGAAATTTAGATGATAGAATATCAAACGATTTATATTGTGATAGTGTACATCGTATCCTTGTATGTCACAATTTCGTTTCACTTCAACACCATTCTGCTTGATGTCAATGACACCTTGATATTGTTTGTTGATTTTGTGTGTTTGTTTTGTTTTGTTTTTCTTTGTTAATCAAACAGTTTTGTTTTTTTTCTTGCTCCTGTATTTTTAAAAAATGCTTTTAGTGTCACAATTGCTGTAACTTGATACTATCGGTATTGTTTTGTAGGTTGTGACAATTTATCATGTTTTAAGAGAAATGTACAGTTGAGATTTTGCTTTTAATGTGATTCTGTTCAGTATTTTCCGCAGTATAAAGCGCTTCGGGGTATAAGGCGCACCGTCAATGAATGGTCTATTTTAGAACTGTTTTCATATATAAGGAGCATAGAGTAGAAGCTACAATAAAGGCTGCGGTTGCGCTATGCATCCACTAGATTGAGTTAGCTAAAGGGAATACAATACAATACAATACAGCTTTATTTATATCGAGCTTTCAAACCGCTGCAGCTGTAACAAAGCGCTTTACAAAATATTTAAAATATCACATCCAAGACATCAAAATATCGATCCATATATTAGGTGCATCGGATTGTAAGGTGCACTGTTGGCTTTTGAGAAAATTGAATGCTTCTTAGGTGCGCGCTGTAGAGCGGAAAATACTGTACTTTGCAAAGAGTATGATTAGTCGTGTCGTAATGTCACAATAAGGTATCGATACACAAACATCAATATTGTCAAAGCGCACTGTCATACTGCAGGGTGTTTTTATAGTAAAACAAATGTGTACATTTTGAAATTTGTATACATTTGTGGAGAAAAACCACAATAATATTATATTATGACTCACTGTCTGCAATCCTCATTCAGCGTTGGACAACCTATTCAATATTGACAGTGTATGTATACATCATCAGATATATAGTCATGGGGAAAAAAAAGAATCATGAGATTCTTGTTTTCCTTAGTTTCTTCATTTTAAAGCCTCATGCAATTTAATGTGTATCGTGGGATTAACCGACAAAATTCCATTAAAGTATCCGATCGATAAACCTTTTCCTTAAGAGTAGTAGTGTCATTAAAATTCTTCAGTTGTGTCAATATTTTCCCCAATACATCAAATATTGCATAATTGCTGCATTCCCGCCTTAAGGAGAGACTCATTTAAATCAATGCACTCTTATTTTAATGTGTAAAGTAATGGCGAAAACAAAAGGACAATTCCAATAGAGGCAATGATTTAGGATTTTGGGATAAGGCAGGGCGACATATTAAAGCAAGGGAATGAACGACTTTGACGAGGCTTTGTAATTGCTGCTCCGCTGCATCGATTGTATCCCCTGAAACCCATTCTTGGAATGGAAAACCCCCACCTTCCCAAACATCTTTCATGCCCCTCCACCCCTTACTTGTCAGACTACTTTAATGCATTTTGTTAGAACGGAAGTGTGCCGTGGCGGGTCTCCAAGCAGCCTTGTGTTTGTCCATAAATTGTCATGTAGCTGATGGCTGCGGCATGGCGGCTAAAAGCGAGACATTGTAGCGCCACGGTTATGCAGCGCTGACCCTCAGAGCTCCGACCGCCACCGTTAATGGACTTGGCCCGTCTCTCTTTTTTCACCGTTGGTCAAAATCTAGTTAGCCTAACCTTGGAAAGGCCACACAGATGGCAGGGTAAAAATATCTTCGCTCAGTGTTACTGGACAGCAACGGAGGGAAGTTGGAGCATGATTTGATTTCGAAAATAAACAGAAGCAACATACTCAATTTGAGTGAAAGCAACATTAAGATTGGAATGGTTTGGGATCACTCTCATAAATTATATTTCGCCTCACTCCAGGATATTTGCAGTACATGCTCAGAATAAAAATATTTTAGACAAAAAAATGGCTTATCACTTAAGTTTGCTAGATGAGTGTAATTTATAAGATGTCCCGAATATAATGCACACTCCCCAAATCAACCTTAAAAAGCATTTTTTTCCTCTCGGTACTTGTGTATACTGTAATATGTTCCCTAGATTTGCTGGTATCCTTCATAATTTGAATGAATGATACGAATGAATAAAGATTCAAAACATAACAATAATGTGTAAATCATTTTGAATCAAGGTTCAAAATTATGCTTCTCCCCACTTTACCCATTGCTATGATTAAGGTCTTTCAAAGAGCATTTTTAAATAATGCTTTCCAAAATCTTGTTCTTACATTGGACACTCAATTTCAGTAAGCTACTTCTTGTCTTTACTTTGCTCTTTACGATGTCTAACATTTTTGTTTGTAACCGCCTTTAAATGTGGTACTTTTAATTATGTGAAGCACTTTGAGTTACCTTTTTTATGTTGTGTAATTTTAAATGCTCCAAAAAATTCAAAGAAAAGGGTGCACCTAGTGGCCATAAAAGTAATTACACTTGATAAAGCTGACTTTCAATTTAATGTAAATTCCACACACTTTCACATTACTTAGCAAGACAAAACGACTGTTAAAGCATTAGGCGACGCTACAAAATGCCGATTGCTAATAACATGCCCTTTTGTGTGCTTAAGAAGTGCCTTGAATTCCTGGCTAATGACACTAACTGATCCACGACCATATGGACTATTATGAATGCAGGACACGAGTAGAGAATTGATCTGCATTGATGTAAGTGTGGCTTGAGATTCCAAAAAGTATCCATACTGTGTGTGTTTCGTCACTGTTTATCTTTCCTTAACGGACAGGCATTGACCGCTTTGTCATCCTTCATTATGACAATTTGATGTGTGTCAAGAAGCAAGAGGTACTTTTAACAATTCCTTTGGAGCAACATGTGGAGTAGGTTTTTGAAAACCAGTAGTACTTCTTTAGACAACACGTTCCCATGCACACTCTCCTAATAAAGATAATCTTGGGAGCTCTACTCCAGTAAGGTACAGGATTTAATGTTGACGGTCAAACGTGAAGGTCACATCTGTCCAATTTCCATGACCGCAGTAGCTCACGGACGCCTGGAGGGAATTTAATTACATCCGGCACAAATGTTGACCTTACTCAAGGAGAAACTGTTCCGAACTTTGAGATACCTGCTCACTGTAACCTTAGAAACGTCCACTGTACCGTGTCATAGCATTTGATACCAAGATGGTGGACGCATTTACTTTGCGGAGAGTAACCCAGAAGTTGTGTAACCACATTCAGAGCCAGTCATGTTTGAATTTACTTGAACTAATTACACACTGTCAGTTGGCCTTTTCGAGAAATATTTCCATCCATTGCGAACACCGTTGCCGACCTTGATCATCAAACACAAACTTGACGTCTTCGAGAAACTTTTGTACTTTGGCTGACAGATTGCAATGAGTTCATGTGAACATTTCAAGTGTGTGTGGTAGTGTGTATATGTGTATGCATGTGTGTGTGTTTGTTCATCTAATTAGTGTAGTTGGTAGACACTCGCGCATGCTAACGCACATTGTTGCCGTCCTTGCTTGCTCTCTCCAGATAAATGCTTGTCCTGATTAGTTTGCTTGTTAATCCCAATTGTGCTTTGTAATCAAGAAAGACCCCACATGCATGAATGTAGCGTGTGTGCGTGCGTGCATGTGAGTGTGTGTGCGAGTGCGTGCAGGCGCGCCTGCGCATATGCACTTGGTAAATATAGGACAGGGCTGATTATTTAATGGCTATTCATTAAATTACTCTTTGGGAGTATGCTGAGAGGTAGAGCACATTAAAACAAATAGTGTCTGTGTGCGCGCGAGTGTGCTTGTTTGTGTGCAATCCCCAACTATTAGCATGCTGCATTAAGTCTATGGATAATGGATGAGCACTGTTTGTCTGGACAAATAAGCCCAGTACGAAGACCACAGCACAGGAAACTGCCTGCCAAAGCAACTTTTTTGAGGCGGGGTTGTGCGTGCAATTCCTTTGTGTTCACTCATCTTGCAAATCATTCATGCAACAACACAGAAAAAAAAAAAAAAAAAAACGAGCGATGAAAAAAAAATATGTACGGAGACAGGCTTACCTCATAGTGTGCCGTGCGCTGGGACTCAGAGATGAGCTGGGCATTGCATATGTTGCAATAACTTTCTGTGAACAAGCTTCCGTCCACCATGCCTGCAGACTTCATCTTCATGGGAGACTGCACGCAAACACACCAGTCGCAAATAGAATCGTGAGGAATGTCAGCATGTGTTTAAGGTACAAAAGCATGCACATCGATTCGGTGATAGTTTCGGTTCAGAATGACAGATCTACCATCACACTTTGTCCTCCTGTGGATTCAAGTGAACAATGGCCTCAAGTGTCGCTGCATTTTATTGAACAAGGAACTTCTAAATCATCTTCCCGGCATTACGTGGATCATAAATTTATCGGCTACATTATAAATGAAGTTGGCGTAAAGATAAATTGCGTCATGTTTGTATTTACGAGAACAGTAATGGCTTGCTGATTGTCATCTTTCCAATTGAAAAAGGAACTCGCATTAAGTAAATCGTAATTCCTCACACAGTGGATGGGGGAGGTTCATTACTCAACGGCAGATCAGAGGGTGCGTCACTTCAAGGGAGTCCTTTATTTAATATATACAATAATATATAATAGTGCATTCAGGTTGAGTGAATTTGGAAGTTAAAAAAAAAAGATTCTGGAGAAATGCAGGCACCATGTTCTGTCGCACACCAAATATTGTGAAGAGGTCTCCACACATGAAGTCATGTGAGAGACTGTTTACGTGGTTCAGTTGGTGCTGCTGTTTTGGTTTGCAAGTCATTTAGATTGCAGTCTATTTTACGAGCTTCTGTAGCCGAGGAACGGACCGCCAAGGTCCCCGCCTTTGGCTGCCGCCCAGCTCACATTGCACCCGACCTCTTTGGCCCCTCCCAAAAGTGGTGAGCCCATGGGCAGAGGGACCCACGTTGCCTTTTCGGCATCGGTGTAGACCCTGCCACCAGGCGCTCGCCAGCGAGCCCCACCTCCAGGCTTGGCTCCAGAGAGGGTCTGCGGTGACCCGCGTCCGGGCAAGGGAAACTCAGATGAGGTGGCTCGGGCATCTGATTAGCCTCCTGGACGCCTCCATGGTGAGGTGTTCCGGGCATGTTCCACTGACAGGAGGCCCCGAGGACGACCCAGGGCACTCTGGTGAGACTATGTCTCCCAGTTGCAGGGTAGAAAATAGATGGAGGGATGGACCTATTTTCCTTTGTATATGTGCTATTTACCAAGGCAGAATAGCAAAGGGACAAGACACATTAATTAAGAAATATTTTTAAATGAACTCTGCATCTTAAAATAAATGACTTATGTACCATAATCTACTAAACTAACTTCATCATGTATTGCAATTTACAGAATATAGGACCAATTTGGGTGTGGTGTCAAGCAAGATGTCCTGCTTTGAACCTAAACAGTTCATCCACTGAGACCTGATAAGGCCAACAGTCAGTCATTGTGAATTCTTCACAACCCGAAATCGTCTCATTGCGTTCCTAGTGAGTGCCACGGTCGAAAAATGTTTTAATGATGTACTCAGAGCGCCCGTGTCGAGTTTTCTATTCTCTTCATTATGTGTGCCCTGCATTGCGGTGCTCTGACAAGGTTAGGCAGCGTAACGGGTCTTTCGGGAACGATGCAGGAACAGTAACTGCTAAAGTGGATTAGATTTTTGCCCCAAAGAAGATTGAGATGCAAGATGTTTGCAGGGGCCAAAATGGCCAGAAAAAACACGGATGCTTACGAGGTCACCTCAGTTGAGTGTGAAATAACACTTCCATTACCGTGAAAAGATTGAGAATCACAGCGGCCGTGATGGTAATCCACAAAATGGTGAGTCGTGACAGAAGTAAAAGTCGTTTATCTCACGTCGAGTGTGTAATCGCTTCCCACCAATGCACGACATCATCACCTCAGTGCACGCACCTAAATGCGCATGTGGAGGCTTTTAATGATGCCTCTGCGTCCTCCCCATGTGTTTAGTGCACCGTGGACCTTTCAATTAATTGCACAGACGCTGTCGGGACACTTCCATTATCTTGCTCAACCCACAAGACCTTCAAACGTCAACGTCAGATACGCAGGTGCTTTCCATCTTGAGCTGGGTGCAGAACATAAAATCAATTATTTTTGAAAAATTCTCGAGTCAATGTAATCCTCATCAGTGAAAGCCGATCCTTGCCGTCGTGCTGCACTCGCGTTCATTGATTCATCTCAAAACCTTGTTTCAAGTCATCCATTTGTCTCGCAGATAGCCAGTCAGACTTCGAAAGTGCTTTGTTATACGAATACACAATATTGGAAACCGATTTTTTTGAGATCCTGTACATGTCCGATCATCACTAAGCAGTGCTGTGACTTATGGAGTAAATAAACAAATGAAACTCGTCAGGGCAGAACCTTCATCCTACCCGACACACTTCTCAACAACTGACTTGAGATCAGCCACACGTCCAATTGTTAAACCTCTGCCCAATTAAAAGATGGAGTGACAGCTGCGGGAATAGACTTATCTGCTTAATATCTCCACAATTTGCTGATATCACAAGTGGGACGTGAATGGCAGCCTAATTAATAGAGGCGATCTGTTGGTGGGATTTGCGCAAATGCATGACCAACAAAGCGTGAAGATGGAGAGGCAGATAGCGGAGGAATTAATGAAAGTGGGAAAGAGATGGGAGGTGGCGATGAGAGAGGAGATGTTCATATTGTAGTGGGCTGCTCATGGTAGATTCATGGTTAGAATTTAAAGGCACTCAATTCCCAGAGGAACATCAATTTTTTTTTTTTTTTGGGTGACATTGTTGTCAATTTTGTAAGCGGCATTATTTTTTTTTTTTGGTGACATTATTGTCAATTTGGTAAGCGGCATGAACCACAAACTGTCCGTTTTGTCTCCTTCGCATAAGCGGGGTGTTTAGTCAGATCAAGTCAAGAGTAAAGCTTCAATCTCATCTTTTGGATTCTTCAGCGGAATCATTTGCATTTAACGAGGGCTGCACAGACTGCGGACTGAGCAAACCCATTTTCTCAGTCGGGCCCTGATGCAGCGTTCAACTTGAGCAGAAAATGACTTTTCATACTTTTGCTGTCTTTCTTTGAAGTACGAGTAGCTGACACTCAGTTGGAAATGGGTGTCAACTCTGGGGGAAATAAAAATAGATGTGAACTTCTCTGAAGTCGAACATCCTTTGATTGCACACTTCTTGAATTGGAATTGAATCAAAAAAAAAAAATTCTGAGAGTTTAAGACCCCAACAAATCTCATGAGACTTCAACTCTGTCCATGGTTACGTTGCCGGGAGCTCCCAG